CAGAAATTTCCACAATATTTGGTCCGATGAAAACTCTCATGCAGTTGTAGAATTTAAACATCAGGAACAGTTTTCAGCAAATGCGCTGGAATTGCTAAAAATCACTTAATTAGATCCTTCTTGCCAACAGAAAGGCTAAATGACTATAATGATCGCCTGTCTTTAGAAGAGAATTTGCCAATATTGCTAGAAGTAGGTCCCGAATTTGGAACAGAATGTGGTTCATGCATGATGGTGCGCCTGCTCACTTCAGTGTTGCAGTAAGAGAATATTTAAAACACACATTTAACCAACCATGGTCTCCAGGTCCCTAGATTTAAATAGTTTGGAATTTTTGTTATGGGGGCATCTTAAAAGTCTGGTTCATCGCACCCCAGTTAACACCGTAGAAGAGCTGCTGCGATTTAATAAGAAACACTGCAGGTATACTGCAAAGGCTATAGGAGGAAATGAGCTGAAGCGTGGATCATTCAAGGTGGAGAACACTTTCAACACCTTATCTAGTTTCTATATTCTACTTTTTTTCAAAAAGGTTGTTATTAATTTATTAACTGACTATTTTAATTTTGTTCAAAATTGTTAATAGTAGGTAGTGTTTTTTTTTCTAAATAAGAATTGTTTATTATTCATCTTGTTGTTAGGCTGGTTTACAGCAAAAAAAGTAAGAAAAAAAAACATTTTTCTAATAGTTTTTTTAAGGACATTAGTTGGTATCTATAAACTAGATATTTTGTTTTAAATAGATATTATTCACAAAAAAAGTTCTCGATTTAAGCAGTGCCTTTTTGCATTTTGCATTCATTTTGGAGCAGATTTAATCTCTTAATTGTTTTTTACTGCGGCTTACGGTTTTCACGTAAAAATAAAAACTATTTTTTCCGCATATTAACGATATTTTTATGATTGAAAAAGATTAAGAAATTAATTTTTTTAGAAAGATTGTAGATTGTAAGCATAATTTTTTTAAGGGAAATCAGTGGTGTACTATCAATGTCTGCTAAAATAGAAATGTGAAATTCCGTACGCCGACCACAAAAAAATTATGATACATTACATAATTCCTCTTGATACATAGTACATGTATGACAATGTTAAAAAAAATAGATGCTATTTTTGAATACTTTACCACCTTATATCTCAATAATTTAGAATATATGTTTATATGAAGTTTTCTTTTTAAAATGATTGATATTCGGTTAGAAAATACCCTGTATGTTAAAAGAAATGGATCTGAAAACGGTTTTTTATTAATATTATTATAGGTGCGTACCTGGTTAACTATTAGAGTATTCCCCTATAAAATCGGAAAAGTTGTGTTCTGCTATATATCGCTAGGATGGAATTCAAAAATGTACTGTCTATCAAGACCATCATATTTATTCATCGAAAATTAAAAATTAAACCCTGAAACCGGATTGATAATTTTGTTGTTTGTTACACTAGCAAGCTATTTATGTGAAAAATAGAATAACATTAACTAGTAGCTCTAATTTATAATTCCGTTTCGAATGTAAGTGCTGAATACATGGTCGCGATCATATTCCAATTTTTCCAAATTTGACTGAACTGAACTATATACTCCTGTGGTATAGTGTGTTTACGTCAATCGACCGAGCTGACCAATTTATTGGACCACTTGTTTGCAAAATTTTCATCTATCCTTTTTGGAACACCCTGCCCAAAACTGGTGCCTCAACGTGCTGAATACATCTCCAAAGAGTAGGGTACAGGGTACTGAACGTGCAATTTAAGAAAGCCTCAGCATTTCATCTATTTGCGCGTTGTGAGTGTTAAAACCTTTAATTTTTGTTGCATTGTCAGACTAAAATAACTAGTCTAGCAGCTTTTGGATAAAGGTAAGAATGTACTTGTGTTATATTACAAAACTGAACTTTTTTTGGTTTTCATGGTAATTTATAGAAAAATATCGATATGAAACATCATAGCTGTCAACTTGCAATTATCTTAGGAACATTGGTAATATCTGCCGGGGGTCTAAATGTTATCTGAGGATTTCCCTCAATTCGCATAATTTCGCATTGACTTAGCGATCCAATTTCTGCTAGATTTATATACATGTCAAAAATATGCTCTCTCATGTTTGTCGTCTTTGTCAATACCGTCTTTTGTACTCCACTACAGCGGCACATATTTTTTCTAGTCCCTTCTGTAAAATACCTAATTACACGCCGATATAGTTTGCGGAAAGGTTTACCACGTGAGTTTCCTGTTCGGCGGATTAGAGGAACTTCGGACATTTTCGGGATATTACTCATTTGTTAAACACTCGCTCCGCTCGTGTCAAATAGACTCCTGACTCAAATACCGTTTGTTGCATAATATACTATTACCATTGCATTAACCGCAAACCAAAAGAACATCTACTCCATACTTATAAGAATCGAAATTAAAAAAACTAAATACTACTACTACTAAATAAGGAAATGCTAAAATAATCCGATTTCAATCAAGTGTAGCTTTTTCGTGTAATAGAACACTTTTCCCATATTATAAGAAAAAAGTCTATAAGTCATTCCACAAAAAAGTTATTGGAATCTATGTTACCCCTCAAAACTTGCATGCTGGAATTATTATAAGCGAAAAATTCAATAGTTTCTCTAAACCTGTTTCGGAAATACTAATGAAAAGATGTTTTCAGGTCAATTCTGTTAGGGCATGTAGCATGTGGATAGTGGAATTTCTCTACATATCTAAAGAATTAGGGCTTATTTTCGACGTAGAACATGCTATTCTTGTATACAAATTAGAAGTCGAGTTTCTACATCTGCAACATATTACCTCAAATGTTCTCCTTATCCGTAAAAAAATCATTCCATGAATAAAAGGCCTTTCGGGAAATATAGTTATTGTGCGTTTCGTTTTGTCTATCGACTATTATAAATTTTAGTAATGGAATAGGCGTTGTCCTAAGCATAGATTTCATTTATATCTATTTACATTATCATGTTTATATACCGTGACAATAAATACTGTTTTTAAATACAAATATATAAGAATTCAGTCCATACATGCTGACACGAGTCGGAATACTATTTTCCTCAAAAACAGGTGCACAACTATTGCTATAGTTTTTGTAGAAGCAAATTAGTGCCAAAATAAGAATAGCCGCGCCAATGATACACATTTCCAACTTCGGTGAAAAATTTAATTGTGTAACTCATATTTTGATTTATTTACAACTTTGGAACTTTTAGGGTGGTTTCAAGCAAAATGCACTGTTGAGAGTACCCTGTATCTCTATAACCTCTTACGATATTATGAAAATTTCACGTACATTACACAAATGTTTTTATGAAGCACAGTTTGACACTGGGAAGAAACGTTTAAATTAAGACGGTCACAAATACCCACCAATTTGTTAATGTTCACGTTAGATAAAGAAGAATAATGCGACTTATATCATGTACTAACGAATAACGTTAATTTGTCAAATTGATAACCCACAAATTTAGGTGATATGATACCTATCGCTTGCTTTCAACGTATTATGATTATTTCAAAACATATTTTCTCTTAAAAGCAGGCATGCACAAAACTAGTAGCAAAAAATCAAATTTCAAATCCACATAAAAAACGAAAAAAAAAATGCAATCACGTCCTGTCATGGCTAAAAACCTCTAGCATTGATTGAAGTTTATTGCAAGCAGCCTCCACCGAAGAATCACATCATGAATATTAATTATAATTCGCAAACGCTTTCCAGGTCTACCGAGTTATGTAGATTAAGAACAACAACGGTCTGAGAACAGATCCTTGTAGGACGCCTAAGGTAAAGTCTATCATCAGTTCTACATTTAGGAGCGGCAGCTATTTGTAATGGTAAGATTTAATCACATCAGAAACTTTACGACGTAAACTATAAAAATGCATCTCTATAATCAAAACATGATGATCTGCACTTTACTAAGATCCATAAATAATCCAAAACATTTATCATTTTTTCTGGAAATTATAGGAGAGGCGTTTAAGTGCTTCTGCATTTTGTAAAACCATTTTGAAAGTCTGCAAGAATGTTATTTCTATTTTAGAAATCCGCTGTTTCCAGAATTATTATTTTTTCCAATATTTTAAGAACAAAACTTGAATAGGTCGATGATATACCATAATTTTACCATCATCCTTCTTGTATAACATAATCATTCTAGCCTACCTAAATCTGTCTGGCAAACTTACATCGTCCAGTGATATATTACGTATTGCTTATATAATAAAATTGACCTATTTTTGTAAAATCTTGGCCGATATCTCATGACATGACATTATAGAGACATATTAAACTCGGTTTTCAATCATAGGTCTGGGAAATTTACATTTTTTTCACATAATTTTTAGAAAGAGTATTTGGAGGCATATTAGTGGTTAACTTACAACACTATATTTATAGTTACCTACCATAACTTCGTACGGTCGGAATAGGATAGTCGTCGATCAGAACAATTTTTTAGAAAACTGCATTGAAATGTATTACTTTGCCGTCTCAATAAGCAAACAGATATTGCTCGATTGACTTCATGTGCAATTCAGTTGCTTTCCCTGAGTTTAACGTACTTTAAACTGACAATTTTAAGTGACCCTTAAGTATGACGAATATTGTTTGTTAATGACCATTAAACGACACCCAGCTTAGAAACTTGTGTAAAACTTAACCAAAGCGTGAAAGGTCACTTAAATTATTAAATTTAGATTCACCATCTTTCAGATTATTCAATTGGTGAATTGGAATTGGAATTCTGATATGTCGTATGCTCATTTTAGGCCTTACTTTTAAAAATTAAAAAAAGGAAATAATGCGGTCATAATGCGTAATTAAAAGCTGGTAATCTTGAAGAAAGCACTGGTTTATTTGTGTAAAAGTCGATATTGCAATTTAGATTGTGAAGCTCTTAGTTGGGAAATGTTGTTCTAAAAACCCTACGAGGATGCAAGGATAGAATAATAAAACACCATCATTAAAATAATACTATAATTCGAATGAAATTTTTAACATCTACAATTAATAAATAATATTATCGAACTAGGGAAAAGAGCGAAAATATAATAAGTAGATTGCGTCGGTTACTACTCAACGCTACAAGCACTGTCATATTTTTTGCAGTCCGCAAAAGATACGCAATCCATGAAAAAAATACACGAAATTACATACAATAATAGCCGTTATTTTTTCGTTAGCTTCGCAGTATTCCAACTAATTAGGAGGTTACAGCTTTGTCAAACACTCGTAAAATTATGAAGCACCAGATATAAAAATCGTCCTGTAAGTCGCTCGTTTCTTCGTCGCTTAGAGCACAGAGAAATCAATTGCACTTTGCAAATTGCGTTAACTATATATAAATCACAAACCTAAAATTACTTCTACAGGGTGGACCAAATTTTTAATGAAAACTTTTAACAGTTCAATAAAAAAAAGTTAAAGTTGCGAAGCTTCAAAAGGCATTTTTTAGCGAAGAGTATTTTTTCAAATACATTTACGAGTAATTTTATTGAGTAGGGCCAGTTATTGCAAAAATTAAATTAAACTACTGTAACAGTTTTTCTGCAAAAATCAGGTCCACTCTATATAAGAACTGGCATTGTCAAATGGCAAGGGTTTGACCGAAGCAAATAAAATAATGCCACAAAAATTAAAACGTAATAATTAATCAACTTTCTATTGTTAATACGTAATTACAAGTCAAAGTTTTAATTTATTGTTTTGGTATTACATTTTATCAATTATGTCAATTTAAAACCAAATATACGATTGTGAATTAAGAATATAAAGTCGGAAAATCGCTGGTAAAAAAAAATGTAAAAAAGTTAAAAATATGGCCGAATAAAAGTCAAACAATTTTATTCCCAGAATAAAACGTTTTCCCCCTTAAGAGTTAAGGAAAGTACATTTTTGAGACTAGACAGAAATTGTCCTCGAAATGTTATTAAAAAATATTTTTCATCGACATAAATAAGTACCTAATACGTAAAATATATACATATGTGGCGCAAATAACAAATAAGTTAATGTAAAATACTGCTTTGAAGATTTTGCCGTCGAGTTTAGTGGGTTTAGTACCGACCGAAACAACTGTACGCCGCTGTGGTGCATGGATAGTGGATTGTCCTAAAAATTAAAAATATATCGGGATTAGAACGAGAAACTTGACGCAGACGGGAATCGAAACTTGTTCATGCAGTGAGTGCTACTCTTTAGACATAAATCGATAACGTGTATTTAAAATTGCAGACAAAAACGTGTTAGTTGTCCAAGAGATTTTTAGTAACATTACCGATAAGTGTTAAAAAGGTGTCTTACATTGCGTATAAGAGAAGAAGAGCCCAATTTACAGCCCTTTTTTCACCACCAGAAGTCACCTTATCGCCATATACATTGATTACATCTAAAATAGGACGTAATAATAATTAGTAAATATGTATATACAAATTAGTATAATTGTTTTTCTCACTTAAAACTACAATAGCACATAGCGTGAATGTTTTTCAATAACCACCTACGGAGAACGGGAAAAGTTAATATTTTTAGTAGAAAGGCATTGCGTAAATGTTTACGCGTGAGTGGTTAAAAGAAAAGAACTCATGCCATGCATATTATAATTTTATGAAAAAATAAAAAACGACAAATAACAATTTATTGTTACAAAATTTTTCACAACAAGGCAAGGTATATTTTTAGGTTCACTTTTCTTTATTTAGATTTCAATCTTTCGAGAACTGTGTCTTAAACCTATTCATTAAGAGCAATAAAACTGATTGGTTAAGGTCTGTCGCCCTTCTATACGGTAATATATTCGAGAAAATTTACTGTCCAAAATACAGATTTGGCAGTGCGAGAAATATGCCCGCTTAATATCCTGTGACTAATCGGTGACGATCACAAAAGACGTCGCAGCCTCAAAAGGTTCATTTTCGAGTGTTAAAAAGTGTAATATCGATATTATGGCGTACAGTGCCGTAGCATTTATAAAATACTTTCCATATTAACTATCAATAAAAATCTAATTCGTAAAATATCAATTCCTTGGTTACTTCGTATACAACTAGCATTTATGTCAAATTATTTTTACCTACAGCTTGCTAAAAGAAACTCCAAACAAAAGAAAACAAAATCGTTAACTAAAGGGTGATTCAGTAAGAGTTTCCACATTAAAATAATAAAAAAAACTCGGAAGAATATAAAAATATACAAACATTTTTATTTGCCATTTTAGATTAGTATATTACAATTAGGTATGAAAAATGATGTCATTCAAATGACCCCCGCGACTCGTGGCACGACGTAATTGGTTTATTGGAATTTCCTATCACTTCTTGACACAATTCAGGTTCTATTCCGGCTATTTCGCGTCTAATCTCCTGTTTCAGCTCTGGAATAGTGTTTGGTTTATTTCTATACACTCTGCTTTTTAGATACCCAAAATAAAAAAAATCTAGGGGAGTACGATCACATGATCGCGGCGGCCAATTGATATCGCCGTTACGTGAGATAATCCGACCAGGAAACTTGTCCCGCAGCAATTGCATCGTTTCTCTGGATGTGTGACAAGTGGCTCCATCCTGTTGGAACCATAAATCTTCAATGTCCAACTGCTCCCAGAAAAAATCAGATATCATGTTTCGATAACGAATACCATTAACCGTAACAGCGTCCTCCGCATTATCCTCGAAAAGAAAAGGGCCAATTATTCCTCCGCACCAAACAGTCACTTTTTGAGGATGTATTGCTTTTTGAACAATTTTTCTTGGATTTTCTAATCCTCAAATACGAGCATTGTGTTTGTTTATAAATCCACCAACGCGAAAATATGCCTCATCGCTAAAGATGATTTTCATTGAATAATGAACCCCTTGTTCTCGTATCCATTTTGCAAACACGTGGCGCTGTTGATGATCTCGAGGTTTCAACTTCTGAGTTATTTGGACTTTATATGGGTGTAGATGCAAGTCTTTTGTTAAAACTCGCTGTGTGGTTGAATACGTAAGGCCCACTTGCTGCGATTGATGACGAACCGATGTATTTGGATCTTCGGCTACATTTTCGCGAACAGATCCAGTTTGCTGAAATTTTTGAACCACATTCCAAATTGTCCTCTCAGAAGGTCGATTTTGCTCGCCGAAAAATTCACGTAGAACCCGAAATGCAATTTTTCTTGATCGACCATTTTCATAATAGGCTTGCACAATTTTTACCCTTTGTTCAGTCGAATATTACTCCATGACTAATTTTGTTTATGTTTTGAGGTTCGAAATCTCATATGATAATAAACAAATACAGTGGCGTTTCAAAAATATTTCAGATTGTAATCTGGAAACTCTTATTGAATCACCCGTTAGAATTGGAATCTGTAAAAAGCTGTACTTGTCGGTAATTATCGGCAATAGAAAAAGAACCTCGTTCGTCACTATCAGCACTAGAATAGGTGCCAAACTAACGTTATTTCTGGTTTTAATTTCAATTTCTATAATTGTCTGAACATCTCACTTCTCAATCCTTACACTGGCTGAAAAATACAATGCCTCGTACTTTCACACACACCCGCGTAGTACTAATTATGAATCACATATATTTAGTCCCTTGGAGGCCTTATCTTTGACTTTTGACTCTGTCTACGAAGTGGATGTTTCTTATAGATCACTCAACTGTTTTCCATAAATAAATGCAGGGGAACAACTGTCTTTTGGAATTGAAAATTGTGTGATTAGGGAACCATTATCAATAGATACCACCACACCACACTCTTGTAAAATTACAGGGTGGACAATTTAAGGTTTATTTAGTAGAGTTGAGATATTTTGCGACTATGGTTCCTATATTTCATATTTTAAGACCAAAGCACCTCGAATGGGTGTTATGTTGGGGTAACACCAATTGGCATACAATAGAAAGACGAGTTTATAGAGGCGTTACTACGCCTGATTTTTCAGAATAATCTGTAGTATAAAAACAGTAATACCAATAATACAAAAACAAAATTTTGTACAATTTAGATAGTAAATAGTAAATGTAAAAAAAACACAATGCATAGAGACAATAAAAAATCCATTGCTTACAAAATAATCAAAAGATTATAATATATAAGGGTGTTTTCAAGAGATATTGATTTAAACTTATTTTAAAGGTCGTCAAAGAGCCACATTTGACCTTATCGTGAAAGCGAGTCATGGCTGCAGCTCCAGTATATAGAGTAATCTAGAAATTTTTTTGTATTTGGCAAAAGGTATATGAATTTTGTTTTACTGTTAAGTTAAAAAGTGAATATCTTTATTTTGAATAAAGTTATTTTTATTTTTAAAAGCATAAGTATCTAGGTCAAATATAAACAAACTTCAATCGATCGTTTAGACCAACTCCATAGTATTATTCCGTATCGCAAAATACGATTCAGTGTGATTGTGAGAACTCGCAGTTATTTTTATAGTTAAGATTTCCATCGATCAAAATACCCAAAAATGTCAGACTGACCTACTGGCTGATCTTCAAAACAAAACGTTGTCTTACTGGGATTTCAAAACAAAATACTACTGTTAAAAAAGGCAATAAGAAGAATCCTAGCAAATGCCGTACCATCACCCACTGACCACAACACTCAAATTACTAATAGGGATATTCGCCGATAATAATTCTGAACAATATAAAGTTAGTGAAGAACAAAAATGCTTTTGATAAAACAGGTCAACAATAGATGGTAGTTTCATATTCAGACAAATCGCTGAGAAAGCAATTCAATATATCTCTGCTTTACAGAATTGACAAAAGCCTTTGGTTCTGTCAGATTAACACTAAAACTACTAAAAGAAGAAACCTACTCCAGCAGAATGGTGAAGATTATTAATAATAACAACAATAACAAAATAAAAATCGAAAATTAATTAACATTAAAATCTGGAAAACGCCTAATCCCACTCTTATTCAATTTAATAACATATAAAATCATAGGAGACATAAAAAAAGGTAGGACACGGAGAAAACAAATAAAAATCATGATCGTTCACTATCTGAGACAGGCAGCATCCGGCAGATACCTTTAAAACAGTGGCCGAAAGCTACAATATGCATACACTTCTAAGACCAAAGCTTTAGTAGTAGCAAGGAAACCCAGATGAATCACAATCGTAATTAATGATGAAAGAACAAGTGTCCGGGTTGGAATAAATGAAAATTGAAATACCCTGCTACAGAGGGCTAAAAAAAAGCGTACAGAAGCAGGCGAATAAAGTATATATCAGGATATCCGGGAGATGTTATTTGGAGAACAAATAATATGAGAATGGATTGGAAAGTTTATAAGTTATGTGAGAGCCCGATACTGATATACTCCATAGAAACGAGAGCCGACACAGCAGAAACAAAAAGGTTACTTAGAACAACAGAAATGAGAACACTGAGAGCGATAGCGTGGAAAACATTCAGAGACTGAATCTCCAGCAATCAAATAGGATACCTCTATAGGGTATAGGATATCGTAAGGTGGGAGTGAACTCAGCATGTAACACAGTCTAGCCCGAACGGCAAAGGATTCAATACCAGCGAGCCGACCACCAGGAAGATAGAGAGATAGATAGCAGTCCACATTACAAATACGATTGCAGCTTCAGAAAAACAGGATCGGACAAGAACACAATCAATGCCAAATATAAGAAGAAGAAGGTCGGAATCTTTAAGGTCGAAACATGAGCGCAGTTGATGTGACCATAAATTTCTTCATACCATTAAATGTGTACTTTCCACTGCTTTGCGATCAAATAAAGAACGATTCGTTTACATCAATAATTTCAGTGTCAATTCCAATTCGCCTTCAGCGTCGATTTTATGTGGAAGACTGGTTTTTTCTACCGTCTACTTGTTATTTTATCGTGAAGGTTTGCGCATTTCTAAGTCTGCAGGTGTTTCTAGCAGTAAAAACTGTAAAATGATTCATCGCGTTGAGTCCGTTATTTATGTTATGAAATTAACACGATCGAGGAATATCATTCAGGCTGAAATCATCGACGCGTAGTTAATAAATTTCAACAGAAACGATTGAGGTTATGTGAAACCGAGTTTACGTTCTGGTCCGTTTCAAATTTGGATATCGGCGCATTAAATTCCGCTACTATCTAGAAACGCAGGTGTTCGGAAATTAATTAGACATTATTAATTCCGGACGCCTACGCGGTATCAGATTTTGTAAGTTTTTGTTTTTACAGACACCAAGGGGGCGTGCTAATTTAAATATTTATTGCCGATAAATTACCGTCGTGTTTGGTTGTCTTCATAAAATTTTTGGCGATGAATAAATTACTACGCGTAGATCCGCATGGTATTACAAGTGCTAATCCAGAAATAGATGCCGAATGAGCCGACAATGGAAACATTGTAAATTTTAACATTTTAAATTATAAAGACGTATAACTATCAAAGAGACTTGGAGACAAAAGTTGTCTAGATTCACTTATATCACTGTATAGATATCTTATTGTTATCTATACAGAATGTTTGAATTTGTTTCTATACAGAATTTTGTATACCTAATATGGAACTTTCTAGACATAATTTCCACAAAGAAATATACTCCAAATCCTCCACGGATGGAGGAAAAAATCGGAAAAATATACTAAAAAGTGAAAGATCTGGAAAAAAGAAATTCTTGTTTGCTTTAAAAGCAATGCCTGTAGATTGTTCTTCTTTATATAGGGTACGAAAAAATTACAAATTTGCTAGAGTAAACTGGCCTTTTCTAAACAGAAATTTTGTTTTGTTTTGTTGTAAATAAAACCAAAACGTTTTCAAATATGACGTATTTTATTTGATTGCACCTTTTATACTTGTGATGTATTTGCCAAAATATTAATGTTAACTTTAGAGCAGAGAATATTTATAATCCAAAATTACGGAGACCGAAAATTCTTATAACTACGTCAGTGAAAAGTTTCAAGAAAAGTATCCAAATATTCCATTATGCAGAAGTTCAGTTGATGTAGAGGAGATTAAGAAAATAATTAATTTTGCTATCAGTTAATGAAAACCCTATGCTCTCCTTAAGAAAATGAGCACAACAAAAAGAAATATATCTTAAAGCAAAAGAAAATCGACTTTTTAACCTTGACCGTGCTAGGATATTTGTTTGTAAGGCTGCAATAAAATTCTCAATAACACAGTAAACTTTGACTTGCTAATAATGTTCTCAGACGAATCAAACTTTCGTACAAATGACCTGGTGGCTTCTTAGCATGTGATATGATGAAGTAACGACAATCCAGTGTTTATAATTGCAAACCACCTTCAATAATTCAAAAAAGTAAATATTTGCTACACCAATTCGTATTATGGAATAATAAGGTACTTACTTGTTAACACGTATAACGGACACTCTTATGTTCATATGCTGGAAATATATTTATCAGGCAAGGCAAATATGTGGCGGATTATGCTGCAGAAGTGAAAAAATGGTTCGATAAATATTCTCTGTTCTAAAGTCAACGTGTTTTATATATATTAAAGTAGCAATTATCAAGTGAATTAGATGAAAATAATTTGATTTTAAATGAAAATTTTAAAATTTGAAATTTTTGATGTAATGTTATTTTGGAATTTAAAGCGGTAAAAACAGACCACTTCACTCTATACAAAATTGAATATTTTTGTATTCTTTTCACACCCTGTATAAAATAAACTAACCAAAACTTCAGGCATCCTTTTTAAGACAACTTTTATAAAGAATGACTTATTTTCCGTATCCTTCACTTTCCGTGAACATACTGTATATTTGGAGCTGGCTTTATTGTAAAAGAGTACTCTTTATTAATATTTTAAATGTAAACATTAACAATTTATATGAAAAAGCCGTTAAAAGTCATTTATTTCACATGGAAGTACTCTAGTGTTATAATGGCATTTAGCATTAAAAAATCTTGTGATTTTCTTTAAGGTTACCTATTTCAAAAAGTTATGGATTGTAAATATTCTATTTTGTTTTATTTTTATTTGGCTAACTGTGAGTTTTTTGCTACCTAACTTAATCAATTTTTGTGATTTATCAATTGTCCTATTGTTATTTCGATTTGTTTTTATTAAAATACTATAGTCACTACTTTTTTTCCAAACAATAAACGCTCAGTATTGAAGCTAAGAAATTACATTTTCAAAAAATGTTATGTTATTTTTTAAACACTGTTTTTTGTGGGTTTTTGCATATCCGGGTTTTATTTAAGAATTGTCAAAATGATTTTGACAAAATTTCTTCCATCCTTTGAAATTAAACAGATCAAAAAGTTTTTGTAATGGGCAATTAATAATAACAGACAGACAGTTAACAGTAAGTGCTTTTCTATAGTGTTCGATTGACATATTCTGCCATTTTTCGTCGTCATCTTTTTGGTATGTCATTTTTACAATGCCAAACTCTAAAAATTATTTTGAATTAAAATCACTTCGAACAAATTGTTAATGTAAGTTTTTGACCATCCTGTATTTATTAATTTTAAAAATGTTAAGTCAGACCACTAAAATTGATCCCTTACCCCACAAGCAAATCAATAACAATACATAACAGGTTTGAAATATGTTCAATATTATCAGAGGAATTAATAATATGCGATAGGGTTCTATTAAAAAAAAAAAATTAATGCATGTTTTAAAGTTATAAGTGAATCCAAAAATTCTTTTTACATTTTTGATGTTGTTTACAGGTTCTGAGATAAGTTGTCGTCTTATAATAAACACAAATTTTAATTAAAATTAAATTTTAAATTAATCCAAGACGAAGTTTTATTTTTTGCATGGACCTGTATAATTATTAATGGAAATTACAAACCATTTCCCATATTGAAAATGTATGTCCGTATATTATTTGGTGTGCAAATGAAAATATTAAATATCTTGAAAACGGCAAGGTTTAGCAGTAGGACACTACACATATTTATAATGTTCCCAAAATGACTGTAGTTTCCCCATAACAGATCGGTCAATGACAAATAAATAACACTGAAACTCGAAAATATACTATCACACGTTACTTAAAAATATAAGTTCCATCATAATGTCTATGTAGAAAATATATTCTATTATTCAGAGGAAAACAAATTCATTTCTGGCGCTAATAAAAGAATATAGCCACAGGGCAGCCACACACGAGGTACAAGAAGAATTGTCTTTTCCAATTACATATGTACCTACAATATCATTTTCTTTCCCATAACTACAAACTTACACGTGTAGCAGAAGCTTGTTCAGCTTTTCCCAAGATATTCTGAGACAATGGACTATTCACAGTTTTTCATATTCGGTTTCGATTAATGTTGTCATAAAGAATTAATTTAGTATTTAATTAAACTTGATTTCACATTTAGTATGGTACAACAAGTACAAATAGATGGATATCAATGTTCTTATAAGTAAAACCTCAAGAAATGAAATGCGTTATCGAAAATTTTGAACGGACCCACGGACAAAAATTGCAATTTTCCAGTATGGAAACATATTTACTATTTTTCACCTCTAGTATAAAACGTTCAAAAATTGTGCAATTCAATCCTTAAACACTAGAATAAATCCAAAACAAAGTTGTGTATTGTGTCGGGTTCCTACAAACATTATTTCAAAATAAAATTGTACTTATAATGCAAAGCATAATGAAAGAAAAAAAAAAACAAAATAAAGACAATTGGATTACCACGAATTCATAAAGATTTATTTTATAAAGACCTTTAGAGGCTTCTGAGCTTATGTGCGTTAATTCATCGAATCCCATTGTGCAACTTGGCATATGCTACAAGAGAAACAATGAAACAGGCCTGGTTGATAAGGTGAAGTTTTAAATTCAACCGTATTATGAAACGCAATTTAATTTATAACGATATTGGGGACAGTTGTGCAATATTATATTATGAAACAAGTTCTCTCTCAAGAACCTCTTCTTTCTCTGAGTTTACGTGAAATTAGGTCCACGCAACGTACGGAATAATTTTTGGTTCAATTAAAAAGGAATCGTCATCGCATTAAGAACCACAATCTTACCTATGTTGTTTCAGGTTGTCCTGCCTCTTAAAACTTTTGCCACATACCTCGCAGCTGAAAGTGAGCTCGGGACTTTTGTGGGTCCTCTCGTGTATCATGAGGTTGTAAGGCTTGGTGAACCTCCTCTGGCAATACTTGCACACAAACTCGCACTTCGCACGCATCTTTCTACGGAACTGATCTCTCGACACGTCGTTATCTAGCTGCATTATGGCGAACATTTTCACCGTTTTTATCTTTAACTATCGGGCTGCGTAACAAAAAACCTTTTTTTAATCTCGGCTTTTCCCCGATTAAAAGTTTCTCTAATTACGAACTGCGTCCTAGATCCTGACGACGGATGAGTAGTCGAAATATTTGCGATGAGACCGGATCCGGAAACTGAAGATTTCTATCAGAACTTATACGCGTCTGTGAGTCAGCGGTTCAGTCCCAGAGGGATTCCTCTTCGAGATTTACCGCCTTGCTGCCTGAAACAATAGAAGTTTTTATGTTAATACGATCGATTCCTCGATTATATCACGGAACGAAAAAAAACTTGTTGGATGTAACTTTTGACCTTTACGATTTGCCTAGCTAGTTCTTAAATTAGTATTAATCTTTCTGAATGACTGTGACTTACTTTGCAATTTAGAATAATTAAAAGTGAAAGAGAGAATAGAGAATATTATAATGCGTGATTCTTATAGCGAAGTTAGACGAAATTTAGACAGCATTCAAAAAGAAGAGCAAATAAAACGCAAAAAAAATTTCAAAAGTTTTAATATGCGATTTTTCAACGACTATTACGAGTTTGTTCAGGGCTGCTCTAAATAAGCGCGTTGTGGTTATAGAGAACCATGTTCTTAAGTTTTTGAGGAGTGGTCATGTTCTTCCTGGCTCTCTTTCACTATACACTTTCCTTGAAGAAAGGATTTGCAAAGGTCGTATTTACTTTCGTTGCTCATAGTATATCCAAGGTATTCCAGTTTTCTTCTCTTGATCCAATTATTTCTAACGAAGTACTTTTTTGTTGGTCACTCTGTCCACCTATGAAACCCTTAATATTCTCCAGTCTTCTTTCGGTTGCCTCGGAAAAATATACAGCATGTAAGGAGTTTGATTTTAATGTCTATGTTAAGACTGTGACTTTAGCCATTTGATTGAGTGGCCCTTGCTTTCTTAATTCTTATTCTAATTTCCAGTGAGTGATTCCAATACTTATTAATTATGGTTACCGAGTAGCTGAACTGTGAACTTCTATATGTTTGTTGTTAATCATACGGTCGTAGCTCGCCCCTATTTCTCTACTAATCACTTCTTGTAAGCTGTTCATGCTATCGGCAAATATCACAGTATCTGTTCATCGAATGTTGCTCAATCGTTCCCCATTTAGAAGGATTCCTATGTGGGAATTCTCAAGAGCTTCACTGAATATGTTTCCTCCCCCATAATGAGTTTAAGATGGGCTGACTCATCCCAATAAAGGTTCCTTCCAGATAATTCTCGGACTTTATTATCCATTCCCGTGTTTTTCAAAACCTCCATCATCTTTTCATGCTTCATTTTGACAGTCGATAAAACAAGCGAAAATATCACAATTCTTATCCTTACAAAGTTGGGACAATTTTGGATACAAAAGAGCTTTAACTACCTTTAGAAATTTCTCCCTAAGTAAGATTGGCGAACTTGTTATTTGGCAATTTGTTATATCTTAGACATATGTTATAGTTATATGCTAATTCTATTCTCCCTTTCTTCGTCCTCGATTGATGGATAGGATTTTTTACCATCTTTTTGATTATCCTTTTTGAAACGCATTTCATTTATTAGAAGACGATATTTACAGTGTTAAATAACCTTCTAAAAGGTGCAGTTAGGGCTGCTGTCGAGGACATTTTAAATCTATGCTAAATCTAAATATCAGGCAAGGACAAAAAGAAACATACTGCTGGTAAATAATACTATCACTAATAAAACAATGTTGTAAATGTAACAAGTATTTTAGGAATAAACGTTAGTTATACGTATAGAAAAGGACTGCAATAAACCAAATCACAATCTATATTGCAAGAGTTGTACAAAGTCTTCCACAAAAACCCAAAATTAATAAAATATTCATAAATAGCTTTAGCTGACACTTCAAAGCTCGCCATTGGGGAGTTATCGCGCTACAAATATGGCGGAAATATATTGTTATTTTTTATCTTAAAAACGAAAATAGAAATAGAATAGTTAATAATTACGAAAGTATGCTACTATCACTATAAGAATATTATATAAGTATATAAGTATATCATACTACTACTTTACTATTAAAACAAGGCATAGGCATGCATGCATAAATTTTAATTTTTTTAAAATGAGTGGAGCGGATTGATTTAGTCTCTCCCTGTCATTCTTCTTAAGTGAAATTAAATTAAACAAAAATATACAGAATTTATGTTTTTTGTCTCCTGTAATTTTTTCATCATATGTGTCGTTTCCAAAGAAAAATTAAATTTTTACTTGACGTTTCTCAATCAGTTTGAATACAAAATGCGAGTAATTTAATCAACAAATTGTTATCCAATGAAAGGTGAATTCATACAGCCCTTGCTTATGCCTATAATACAGAAACTTATGAAGCAAATATGAAAAAAAAAAATGAAAAGGTTCGTTCAACATGCGCATGCGCTAGATTTAACACCTCGTGTTTAAACAACGTCCTTGCGGCATTCATCTATCAACATGGCTACTGTCAAAACATCAAAAAGTTTGGATGCGGCATAAATACCTCAGAATTTTCTCAATATCTACGTAGTTTTTGTTAATTTTTCTAGGAAAACAAGTTAAGTGTGTGGAAATCGCTTTTATAAGGAAAATGGCGCAGAATGCAGCTTAGTAAGTGAAATGTAAAGGCATGCGCATAAAATCCTTACCTTCTCTACAAAAATACCAATTCCATCTGCGGCGCATCCATTTCTACTATAACTATAAGGGTGAATTTCACTAATGCAAGGAAGGCTCACTGTACAAGCGTCCAAAGAAAAAGGGAACACAATAATAAATGCATGTATTATGTGGCAAAAATATTATTGTTGTTTTACCTTAGGTCCATTGCTAATTGGTTGTGTTTTTATTTGAGGCACAATGATTAAATGAAATGTTTTAAATAAGGTTCTTAGTTTGCATATGAACAGATCAATTAGTTTTAGAAATGTTTAATAATAAATATGCCGGAACTTAATCCTAACTTGTTAAACCTAACTTAATAGTTATGTTCGTATTAATAATTACATTAAATTACATTAATATTAAATTTATCACGCTCTTGATTTTATTCATAGTTAATATACCACTTCTAGAATCTCGTAGTCAACAGGAGTCAACAAGCCTCTTAACTTTTGTATATTCCCTATAAAACTAATAATAATGTAATAATAAATATGCTCTTGTCGTTCACTTATTCTGGAAAAAGTCTAACTGGGATACCATACTTCGTCCATTATCGGTTTTGCCATTTTTTTCAACCCCCGTATATTATGCTATGTCTATATGTCTATGTCTATGATTCGTCTAAACGTGCTTTGCAAATTATTTGGAAAATATGTTTCCTACTAAAGTACAGAAGTCAACAAGCCTCCTAATTTTTGTGTATTTCCTATTTTGCAAATTTATTGGAAAGGCGTTACAAATTCTGTTCTATATTGTATGTAACCAATTATTCAGAAACAGTGATTTGTAGACGCCCCATATTATGAATTCGCATTTCAGTGGTCAACTTGGACATAGCAAAATAATGGTGGTTTTGCATTTGCAAAAAATGCAAAGTATGACAACACTGCACCCAAAATTAAAATACCTTAGATACGTCATTTTAAATATCGTGCCGATAATGAAGATGAACGTCAATAGTTCCGAAACCTTGCGTTTAAACTCCATACTGTTATACATCATTAAACTCATCTTTCAAACGTTCATATAAATCAGCATTAATATACAGTGTGTTCCATTTGAATGGTAGCGACCGCGACGAAGTGAGTCGTTCTGTAAGCAACAACGTATAATAAATGAGAAGTACCAATTAACCCAAGCAACTGGTCTTGAATCTGTTCTAGTTACTGAGATAAGGTAGTGGTGCCTCATAAACGCATCACTCTGTACATGATTGCTTTATTTGATATCTAAACAAAATTTATAAAATGTGTAGGTAACCCCTTTCTGCTACCTATGAACACATTGGTTTTGTGTTTCATTTAATATTTTGTGAATGAATTTGTTCCAACTACAATATATTAGACAAAAATTGGAGTAAAATTATGTACAGTTAGATCTGGGTCGTAGGTGCATTGATTTAATAGATGCGGCGGCATGTGGCCGATTTGTAAGCAGTAAATTAATGCATTACTGTGTACCAGAAACTTATTGAGATGAAAAACTTTTCTGGAACCTTCAAATCAATAGTTGACTACAACCAATTTGGAACCTCAACCTATTGTTTGAAAATGAAATCCGCACTTTACTAAAGTAAAGACAGTTTCTTCGGATCTCAGTAGTTAACATGCCATTCGATAGTTGACTATACTACTTTAGCTTAGTCAACAATCAAATCTCGTTGACCTAAATTACCTTAAGGCGAGCCCCTTTCGTGTTTTCTTCAATGTAAATATTTCCACAGAAGTACCTGACTTAGAAGTTTTGGCGATAATAATTTTTATGACAAGCTTTTACGACGCAGCCAGCTTTTATTACATTATAAATTTTTAATTAACGCTCCATCTATTATACAGACCGGCCTCAAAGTGTTGATTCGGAGTCCTCTTAATGCGAAAGGGTTTCCCAAAGGATCACCAGGCTCGGAAATAATGAGCGATGGCATTGTTTTTCTTTTTTTATCTTTCGCATTCACCGGGCAAATTTAAATGCCTAAAGTAAATTCTAAAAATACAACCGGTCTACCCGGGTTTGCTTATAATAACACTTATTTGCATAAAATCATGTCATGAGGCAATGTTTTTTTTTTCTAATAAAATTTCCTCGGTGACGTCAATCGGAATCACATTGATTGCCATGAATTAAGTTTCTCGTTCGTCACTAGTAAATCGTTGTTTGCTCAGAGAGTTACGCACAGAGGTGTAATTATTTTGCGATCGAAGCGAAAAAATCAACTTGAGATGTGTCACGTTATAAATGGTAAACATTTTCGAGATTAAATTTGTCAACAGGCGGTGAGTGTAGGTTTTTTTACTTTCTCATTCTGAATCAGCGATAACTATTTAGTTTTGATAAAAAAATTAGAGGCAATCCTTTTATTCGACGTCATTTTTGTAATAAAATCATATTTAGGCCGAAGCCTGAATTCTGCAAGATCGAAGCGAGTATTTAATAATCGACAAAATACCATGCCATTGCATTTGCAAAAATATAAAAATAAAAATTTTCATTTTTCATTTTCAGAACTTTAGAATAACCAAAATCAGTTGCATTAAAACTGAAACTAACCAAAATG